CATATCTATTCAGATAGTTTCCATTCTCTAAATTAAGTCAGAGTCCTTCAATTCTGACCCCCTCCTAAAAAGAAACAGTTATGACTTAGCAATAACCTGGCTCGAAATACTTTCCAGACCAGTGAACTGTGCAATACCTTCAAAAATGGGATGACAAAAGGTCGCAGTGGAAAGTTAGTAGCTTCTTGGAGTTTGGAATGAAATTCTTCAATTGTCAAAGTGGAGTTCTGTGGAGAAAATATGTATTATACATTCAGTTTTCTCTGGATAAATAGTAAACATACTGAAACCAACAAATTAATATTGGTACAACACAATGCAATAACAAGCAAACGTATACAGGAAAGCAATATTGTCAATGTAAAGAACTACTGACTTTGTAAAACAAGACATGTCATGGTTTATTGTAACGCAGTTCTAAAATTTTCATCTGAAAGTAAAACACAGTATGGTGCTCTTCCATTAGCAGAGTTTGCTAAAGAAGTCACTGCAATATGAAGTGTTCTAAATGTTATCTCTATAGACAATATATACACTTGGATGTATTTAAATGTAAACAGATCACTTGAAAGGCCAAAGGCAAGTGTCAGTGATTCGCTGTCCATGTCTCCTTTGTTGGTATTACTGATGGTGAAGATGTTATACTCCTCCTCCTCTGTTTCGATCCTGTGTGCTCTCTTTGTCTGCACAAGCATCTTTGCTCAGGGGGAACAGCCAAGTTGGGTAGTGTGCTATGCTAATGAAGCCAAAGAAAAGGTCTGAGTACTTTCTGAGTCACTGAGTGTTGTAATTGGAAAAAAAGGGAAAAAAAAGCATTACTACTTCTCAAAGACATTTCATTTACCCCCAAGGTAATGTGCATTGCTCAGCCCAAAAGAGCCTGAACAAAATGACCTAAATTCACTCCAGATCTATCCATATATATATACATACACACACACACACACACACACACACACACACACACACACACACAAGACAAATAATCTTGATTTGTATTTTAATCTGGGCAAAATGTGTTAATAAAAAGCATCTACTTCAGCACATATATAACAGGCACTGAATAACCACACTTTTGATTTAGGTTTTTCTTAGTCCCTAGGCAGGGCAACTGTAACTGCAGGGTCTATGACTTCAGTTCCTTTAGTTATTCTGATAACTGACAAAATCTGGGTTTCGTGACTGAACATCATTAAAATATTGGTAACTTGTGTTGTGCATTTTCATTTCCTATGACAAAGAATGAGAAAGTTTCAGCTTTTCATATCCCTCAAACTCAAAACATCTTCTCAGAAAATATGAATAAATTCCAATCTCCTACCATTAATAATACCAGTTAGGGAGCCAATTTATTTTATCTATCTGATGTTTTGTTGTTTGTTTTGTTGTTGTTGTTTTGTTTTGGGTTTTTGTTTTTGTTTTTGAGACAGGATCTCACTATGTAGTTGAGACTGACCTGGAACTCACTATGTAGTCCAGACTGGTCTTGAACTCACAGGGATCCTCCTGCCTCAGCATCCTAAATGATGGGATTACGGGCGTGCAGCACCACGCCCAGCCTATTTTATCCATCTTTTTGTCTTGACTCATTTTCTAAGGGATAGCACATCTAACATTTCTCTTAATGTCACCTAAAAAATATCATACTGTGCTTCAACAGGACTCTGCAACTAAATCCCAATCACTGGTGTATCATTACCAGTTGAATGGCCTCATTTTAGTCAACATCTGTGTACCTCAGTTTCCCCATATGTAAAGTCATAAAAATCGTATCATCAAAAAGTGAACCCGAGATTTAAAAAGGTTTGTAGTCAAATGCTTAAAACAAAAGCCTATTCCCTATTCATTTACTTCTTTGACAAATGTTTACTGTCTGTTATATGCAAGGCACCATTAATGACTTTTGCTAACTTTCAGAAAGTCCCAATATAAACAAATGTTTTTAAGAAGTATTTCAGTCAGGTAGAGCATAGTGGCATGTGCCTGGGGCGGCTGGGGCAGGAGGATCAAGAGCTGGAGGCCAGCCTAGCTACCTGTCCAGTTCAAGGCCAGGCTGGACTAGACAGCAGAACTGTATCAAGCAAAAACAAAAACAAAAACAAAACAAAAATCAAACTTTAGGGCCAGGGATTTAGCTCAGTGGTTCTGCCGCCTGCCTTGCAAGTGCAAGGACTCGAGTTTGAAAAAAAAAAAAAAAAAAAAAAAAAAAAAAAAGTAATTACTGACAAACTTCACTTCTTATAAGTCTATCACTTAATATGGAGTAAACGCTACTGAAAATTTTTCTACATTTTAACTCATGGAACCATTTTTAACAAAACATTACATTTATAAGGGTTTTTTTTAATCGAATAATAACATGTTCATGACTTGATACAATTATTGTTTTAGATTTACTTTGTGGTTTTCTGGTCTAACATATTTACATGTTGGAAGTCTGTCACATAAACTCAAAAAAAAAAGAATGAAAAGGAAAAACAGGTGACCGCCAACATGCAGAAGGTATACTGATGCATCTGTCAGATCGGCTTTGTGCCCTGGATTTGTACAAGGTAGAGCTGAGGGACAGAGGGAAATGGGACAGTTTTTTGTTCTTGGAGCAAGGAGAAGCAGTTAACTGTTAAAATTTAAATTGCAAAATCTCTGTCAAATACAGTTTATAGTGATTTTAAGCATGTCGCTTGGTCCTGCTTTGCCCATGATAGGGCCACATACATAAAAATAAACAAGGTACTTAAAGAAAAAATAACTGCTGCCCATCAACCCACTTTCAACTCCAGCCTAATTGCGGATGAAAGACTGAGCCGCTCTGCGACTCAGTTTCCACGGGAAACTTAGTAAAACTAGAGAATCCTCCACTTGTGTAAAAAAACAACAACAATCTAAGAGTTTAGGAAGGAAAAAACAATACATGTTCTCATTTGCAGTGTTGTGATGATGTACAGAATGTAGTATAATGTGCCAAAATTAACAATTCTGTTCTCAACAGTTTAACTAATTTAACTAATCCAAAGATTTAGTTTTTGGGGGGCACCAATTAATAGTTACCAAGGTTGAAGAGAAATGAGGATTTATTGTTTTATAAGTTCATCTAAATAAAAACTCCTTCTTAAAACAACTAAGTTAAAATGAGTACCCAATTACATGAGTCATTAACATAGCAAAATCATTTTATGTGTGAAAGTCATTAAGCCAAGAGTGTACTTATTACATATGTATAGACACGTGTGTATATAAACACGTATGTATCTGTAAAAATACATATACACATGCATTCACATATAAACACATATATGCATGCATACATATTTATGGCTAAGACAACAATAAATTTGTATATGTAAAAATATTTTTTTGTATTGGTGATAGAATCTAGGCCTTCACACTGAGCTATATCCTGTCCTTTTTATTTTGAGACAGGGTCTCATGAAGTCACTCAGTTGCCTAGGTGAACCTGATGTTGAAATCCTACCACCTCCCCGTCTCAGAGTGCCGATTACTTTTTTTTGGGCAAGGGTACCGGGGATGCAACTTGGGATCTTACACTTGCCAGGCAGGCGGTGGAACCACGGAGCTAAATTCCCAGCCCAGCTGAGATTACAGACATGCACCGCCATCCCTAGCTCTATATTTTTCTTTGTAAAAGTAACCATGTGTAGACCTAATCAGAGCTGCACATAGATCTCCAGGTGCTGTAAGAAGCCCGGCACGGTGGCACATGCCTACAATAAGAGCTCTGGGAAGGCTGAAGCAGGGGCACTGCTGCAAGTTTGAGGCCAAACTGAGCTACATTGCGAGTTCAAGACCCACCTGGACTACATAGGGAGACCATGTCTCAAAAAAATCATAAAACAAAAACAAAAAAAACCCACAAAAATCCCACAAAATTGCTGTGAGAATGGGTCTCTATTTCTGAGTCTCCTACACACGCTGCCCCTTACTCCATAGGTCTGGGCTGGTTTCGTTACTTACCACCAGTCCTAGTACGAGGGTGCGAACTCTCTCTCCGATCTCTGGTGAAATGTCATTGCCAAACTGCTGCAGGGTAGTAAGGAACCGCTTGAGCTTGCTGAGCTGCCTGGCGCCACAGGCGGGGGGCAACTGTTGATTAGCCAGAGAAGAGGAGGAAGAGGAGGAAGGCCCATTGCTAAAGCCATTGGGCGGCGAGGGGGCACCATTCAAGGCTGTAGGTGAATGGCTGGTGCCATTAGTTACTGTCAGGGGCACAAAATCAGAAGAAAAACATAAATTTACAGAGAACAAGCACGGGGAATTGCCACCACATTTCCTTCCCTTGAAATCTAGTAGAATTGTAGTTTCAAAGATGTTGGGACATGTTGTAAAATGCATGGACTTCACAGGCTCACCAGTCTCTTCTATCACTAGCCGTGTCCACTCCTCACACGGAGGCCTGGCATTTGCACAGAAGCTGATAACAAACAGAGCCTGCCGTAACACCGGGCCAGCCCTGCCTCCCATGAGCACATATGCCAACCACCTGAAATGTTCCAAACTGAGCAAACAGCTTTGGATGTCAGCCTTTTGTCACAGGCTTACATCAATATAACAGGGCTACCCCTTCCTAAACTGTTCCCCTAGAGAAAGTGTACATTTGGTGGAGACTAAATTTATCACTGAACATTTTTAATCATGTTTTGTACACACAACTGACAGCTGTGTTTATAGAAACAGGGCTTTCAAGTTTTCACCTTATACCACCCAATTAGAAGGCTATTTTCTCCCTCATATTTCTTAACCACTTATTTAGGGAAAATGCAAATTTTACATATAAAGCCAAAATGGACTTTATCAAGGAGTAAGTTCAAGAAAATGAAAGGGGACACCTCAGTCCAACCAAGAGCATACATTGGTAGTAATTCAGTAAATTCATTTCCAATAAAATGCAGTTGAACACCAGATGATAATCTGTAAGAATGAGGCTACAAAAATTTGCACTTTTTTTTTTTTTTTTTTTTTTTTTTGGTTTTTTTTTAGGGGTC